CTATATGTACTCTAATACACAAGATGTAATACTCAACCATATAATATGAGTTGTTTGATACTTTAATACCACAAGTTTTTTACATTTCACATTTTTTTAAACTCTGGAATGCAACTAAACCGGAAAAGCTCCTCCTTGTAGTTCCATTGACAATAGCATTCACACAACAAAGAACATTCAAACAAAGAAGCTGAAAATGTGCAAGCGGGTTACCAGATCATAACTTATGCGATGAGGAAGGGGAGGACGGTGAGCATGAAAGTTTCGTAAGTGAAAGTAGCTGAGCCTGAGTATCTTGTGTCCTTCTCCTTGAACTTTTCTGTCAGTCCCTGCAATTTCCATCAACTTACAAATCAAACTACTAACTTCTAACGAATCACCAAACCAAATTGTAATAAAGAATCTGCAGTTGATCAGGCTTGTTTTCCTTAGGACGACAAATTAAACAACAGAACTGAATTGATTAAGATCCATTGCAAACTCATTGCTGTTTTTGACCCCTAAACCTCTTAGCACATCTGACAAAATTAACAAACTAAGCATAATGGACATTGATAACAAGTTTGAATTTAACTCTCCCCAAGAGTAATTCCTAGAACTAAAAATATTTCAGTCTTATTTGTACGATAAGCACTTATCTATGAGTTGTATGAGACAGCAACAGAGTAAATGATAGCGTACCTTAACAGTGAGACAGCACCTGCATCAACGCAAAGTAGATGACGCAAATTAGCAACTATCAGAGCAAGAAGAAAAAAAAAAAAAGATAGAGCATGGAACGAATAACGTACTCAATGAAATTGTCATATTCGATGGCCTTGTTCTTGCCTCCACTTTTGTCAAACTTGGAAACCAGTAGATCCAAAATCACAGGAGAGACTGAAAACCCAAGGCTCAAAAGCGCATCTCTCAGCTCATTTACATCTATTCTCCCGCTCCTATCCTTATCAGACCTTTCAAAAATAGACTGTACCATTCCCAAAACTAACCACATGAGTGAACTTAAACCAGTCTCGCTAAAAGCTAAATCACTAGCAGAAACCCATTAAAATTCATGAAACCATTAAAAAAACTTACCCTCCAACTCTGAAGACTGTAGAAAAGTGCAGAAAACTCCTTAGGTCCTGCAACATGGAGATCTCTTTAAGTGAGTACAAGACAGAAATCCAAAACCAGGTTAACAAGAGAAGAAGATGTAACTAGAATGATTCTTTATGTCACAACTAGAACTAAAATAATGAAATCAAAAGATTCAATATCATTATAGAAGACAGTGAGTACTCTTTTGCACGTAATTCACAGAAGTCTATAAAATTGCCTAAATGGTAATAGAAAAATCCTGATGATATGAAGGAAGAAAAGTTTGAGTTTTTACATCTTTCTAAGTGGCACAAACCTAATACACAGAGATAATGAATTGAAGACTGAACAACAATCAAAACCATACATATCCTTGTCCAATCTAGAGCCAGTTTTGGTCAAATTGAAAGAATGTAGAAAACTCACCGATCTTCATGACATTGCTATTAGTGAACAGATACATTAGAAGATGAACAGTTCGCATGCTGAATCTCTGTTGATAAGAAGAGAGAGCACCTTGAAGCTCCTTATCATCAATAAAGCCACTACCATCTTGATCCGCAGCTTGGAAACAAGCCACTATATTCGGATCCGTTCCCGGAGCAAAACCCGACGGAATCAGAGAAGCGAAAGGACTTCCATAAGAGCTCTGAGGAGGATAACCTCCGTAACCACCGTGACCAGACGAAGCTGGACGAGGCTGAGCACCACCGTATCCTCCTCCGTGCCCAGACGGAGCCGGACGAGGTGCAGCACCGTAACCCCCATAATCTGAATGCCCAGACGGTGGTGGAGCTCCGTACTCGCCGGGAACTCCGTAACTACCGTATGGTTTCTCTTTTGGCGGCTTGTAGTCACCTGGAGAAGGCGCGTACGGCGCCGATGGAGACGGTGATGATCCGTAACGCGACGGTGCAGACGGAGACGGAGATCCGTAAGCCGGCGCGGAGGAGGAGGATGATTGGGGTTTCGGTGCGCCGTAAGGAACAGCGTAAGGAGATGAGGTTGATGATCCGTACGGTGGATTGTTTCCGCCGCCGGATGAGTAAGGTGGTTGTGGTGGTGGAGGTTGATTTCCGCCG